ACACACACACACACACACACACACACAAAGGTCAAAGGTCAGAACTGATGATGTCAGACCTTTTATTCTGATCATGTGATCACACCTGACTGATGTCATCACCTTGAAGTACTGCACTTTGAGCAGCTCAGCTCCAGACTCCACGGACGAGCTGACGAGACACAGCGGCTCGCCGCTCGAGTCTGAGACGAGAGGAGGGAATGTGATTAACGCCTGCGTTACCATAGAAACACTGCAGAAGGTTACAGAGGGCTCCGACCTTTGAACTCCAGGCACTTCATGGTGATCTCCTTGATGTACGTCGTGGCACACGTGTCGTACTTCCTGACTTTGGTGTCGATGCCCAGGTGAGCGACGTGAAGGACGAGGAACGGCGTCTCCGTCTTGTCTCTGGGCTTCTTCAGGGTCAACAGCACCTGGAGAACGTGGACAATCAGAGAGCCGCTTCTTTACACTCTCCTCCCGAGGTCGCTCTCACGGACGTGTTCTCTCGGTCGTACATCTCATACCTCTTTGATTTTGAAGTTCAGCAGGACGTTGACGATGTTTTCAGTCGGAGCTCCGATGGTGGGCGGGATCGCAGCAGATCCCACCTGTGGTGACATCACCTCCACCTGCTGCTCAGCGAGCGCCGCCTTCCCTGAGGACACAGAACACATTTTCTCACAGCAGGTGTCAGCATCTGATTGGACGATATTCACCAGAGTCACTTGCCCAGATTTCCCATAATGCACTCTGAGATACCTTGAGCTGCCTGACTCTTGACGTCCATGTTGTGCTCTTTACTTCCCTCCCCGATGTTCTCCACCAGGATCTTCATCAGCACGCCGAGGTCTTCCTCACTCAGACTCATCTGAAGCCCAGACATGTGATGAGTCATAACTGCTCTTTCATTGGTCAACCTTCAAGCTAACTTAGTAACGAGTTAGCTTAGCATAAGAGCCCTGAGGTATGCGTTCGTGTCAGGGAAACAATACGATTGGTTGTTATAAAGCAGGTGCAAGACAAACGCTGTCATCTCGTTCACAAACTGTTTGACGTCAGGTTAAAAAAGAATGTGAGACGTACGTTCAGCGACTGCAGGACTCCCTGGACCTGGACTCCAGGGATCCTGGTGAACCAGGAAGCTGCAAGGTTTCGGGTGACGAGCAGCTCCAAGTTGATTGGCTGAAGTAACTCGATGTCTGAGAAGATGAGCTGAGAAGAGTCCGGCTTCAGAACAGTTCTAAATAAAGAAAAACATTTATTCAATATTACTTATTTGTTTATCCAAGAGAAGGTTCACACCTGATGAAGAACATTATTACGACTGAGTCTTTGAGAACGTGTGCGTTTGATTTACTCACCTGGAGAGTTTCAGCTGCGTCAGCTTCACATCCATCTTCTCCACCACCGCCGGCAGAGAGAAACCTTCAACAGGAAGCAGAGAGAAGCTGTTTTCCACCGTGATCAGACCCAGATCCACCACAACTGCATTCTGGGAGGTGGAGGACTGGGGGATGATGATGAGTGGCGCCTTCAGCTTGATATCCATGGAAAGACGGAAACTCTTCTGGGCAAAGTCTCGAACGCTGGACACCGCCTTCTCCGCCGCCTGAGCCGTGGCGGCGCTCAAAGCTTCTTTTGCTGTCTGGAAGTTGTCTACAAACATCTTAAGAACAAAACAAAATCGGGAGTGAGACAAGAAACAGAGTGTGAGGATGCAGACGTGCAGAGGAACACTGTGAAGCAGCAGTCAGAGGGAGTCGATGTGAGGCGTTCATTTCTGTCTCATAAACATTCAGAGGAAGAATGTGAACCTCAGATAAAAACATAAATCATTTCTAACTGATTTCTACAGTTAAACTTAAAGTGTATGAGAGAAAACATGAGACTCACAGTAAGAATATTGTCTCTGACACTCCAGAGATTATATAATATAATCATGAGATAATAATGATAATTATTATACATTCAATAATAAATATCATCTCTGAATCTGAAACCTGCTTCGTCTCATCATCTTCACAGGTTGAAACGTTTATGAAACAAGAATGAAGTTCAAACAGATTCAAGTCTGTCAGATGATCAGGAAGTGATGTCACACAGGCAGAGGTCATGTGATTGAGGGGTGGGGGGTGAATGGTGGCAGCTGTGTGAGATGAACAGCGTGTGAGGAGGTGAACATGAGCAGCCCTCCCTCATCGTTCCTTTCTTCATCCCTCCATCCGAGCTCAGCCAATCACATCAGAGTTTGTTTGTCTAGACCTTCTCACTGTCGCAGGTGGGCGGAGTTAAACTATCACAGTGTCTTGTTTTTGTATATTCATTTAAACAGGTTAACAGACGACCGCTGGAACCTCGTCGCTCAGTTTCACGTTAAGTTCTGCAAATCTGAGAATACGAATTTAAAAAGAAACTTCTCCAAAGTTTAAATTGCAGCAGAAAAAGTTTTAACTCAGATGAGAACAAGCAAAGGGGGCGGATTAACGAGTGAAAATCAGCCGCGGGGTCGAGAACCAGAGATAAAGTAGATCCTGTTAAACCTGGAATTCTAGCGCCTCCTTCAGGACAAACATGTTATTGATCATGATGAACTTTAAAGTGAAGGTGCAGTGACGCTAAAGCAGAAGGTTTGATGCAGCAGGTCAGAGCTCGTGCTGGAAGCTGTACCTCATCAGCAGACGAGTACTGAAAGCAAAAAGAAGCCTGAAAGAACAGAACACATCAACAAGACAAGAAACATGAGACAGGAAAGAGACGAACAAACACTTTCACAATAAAGTTCTGTTAACTCTGAACCGTCTGTTATCTTCCTGATTGTTTTGACAGTTTGTGTCGTCATTTATCCTTTATTTTATTTACATCATTCACCACAGAACTAGTCAATACTTCCTGTTATCACTGACACTAATTCCTGAACGAAACTCATGAACGGGCTCCACAGATGTCAAATACATCGACGAAAGCTGGAGAGTTGCATTGTGGGATTGTTAGCTGACATGTCAAACTATACTTTCTATAATTGTTCTTTTTTTTTGCAGCATCAAGTTGATTATATTTCCTCACCCAGACAGGAAATGAGCTCAACTGGTCAGGAAGTAATTTGGAAATCATTCAAACGTCGATGTTACAAAATGTAAACAATTCTGAGGCAGTTTAGTTTTTACAGAATTAAAGTTTAAAGTTTTAGTTTGTATAAATATAAAAAGTGTATTATCACACCAGGTGATTGTTGAGAATCTACATCTACAAGATGAAAGTTAATAAAAGTGTCTGACATCACACAGAGACAACATGAGACAAAAAAGAATATTCACTAAACACAACAG